CAATAACGCAACAGTAAATTACAGTAGCAATAAACTCTAATGTTTTAATATAAATTGTGATAGTCATATTAAATGCAGCTCACTGACCGAGTACTGACTGTATCCATAATTGCATAACTTATTAAGAGTTGCCCGGGAGCCGGGAGCCGGGAGCCGGGCGGTGCAGGGAGGTGCAGAGCTGCGCGTCCGGGACTTCACAGGGCACGCGTATGTTAGGGTTGCCAACTTAAACTTTGAAACTTTTTAATCTTAATTGAATAAAATTGAATTTTAAATGTTATTTACAACACAAGGATTTTTCAACGTGTGTCAATGTTATAAACGTAATAAAAGGGCTTTATCTCTTTGAAAATATTTTAATGAAGGGTATCATTTATTTTTTTATTTGTTATAATTTTGATGTAAATTACAACATGTCTAACAACAATGTTATGCAGCAACTCTAGTTTTACGAAGTTATGAATATGTTTTTGAATCCCGATCAATCGATCTCTGTACTCTTATAAAAATAATTCATGAAAAGGTGTTGACACTTTTACGTAAGTACACGAGTGCGTGAGATTCCAAAGAAGAAAAAATAAAGCATGTCCACGGGAAAATATACCTTAAAACAACTGGATACAGGCGGTTCTAACTTAATTCCACTGACATAAATTGATCACTGCTATGATTTTGTAGAATGTAGCACAAATCATTAAAAAAGAAATTTTCATGCAGGTAACAATGAGGGATAACGTTGAAAACAGGAAACAAGGTATTGAAATATGACAGCCTTTTGTGAAAAAAACGAAAAAGAATGAATCTATACAATTCCATCACGGATATACAATACGTGAGTGCTTTTATACTTCCTTTAGGTCTTCCGCTTTAATTTTAAAGTACACGTCAAGCCTGAATTCAATCTCCGAATGAGCTTATTAATGACTAGCAGTTCCATACATACGTCTTTAGTAATGTATGGTCTCGATAGATATCACTGCATACTCTACGGTTTCCGATAGTTTCTTAAATATGGTCTTGCGAGTCATTCTTTTCACATTTAAATACATTTCTTTGGGCAAAAAAGGCGCCAATTGATCTAGTTGTAAATGTAGAGCTTAGTTTTCAACTTGTTAAAGTAATATTTAAGTTAAAGCGCAAACTTACTTATAAAAACCGTGCGCTATGAAAGAGATGTCTAGAGTTGTTGACTTACTAATTATTCACTTAACTATCGCTCGTTAAAACTTGCATTAAATTTTTTATTTTTTTAAATTTGTTACTAACTCTAGTTAAACGATAAACAAGGGTTACCAGTTCTAACACGTGACACCAACATACTAAAGAGTACACATCAAATTATGAACTTTGTACATTAAATACTAATATATTTATGCGTAATATATGATTATTTAATTTTATTGTCTCTCATTTCCAGAATCATAATAAACCTAAAACATATAACCCAGTAACCTTTTCAGCACATTCGAAATAACTTCTTACACAGGAGCAATATAAATGTTATGTTCAACTAGTGTAAGCACGCGTAATAAATTTCCACGGTATGCAAATCTCCTCTAATTAATTATCCACAACTCCCGCGTACCAGTACGTAACCCACTTGTACGAAAACAGGCTGACAAATAGAAAAAATATACATTTTTTTAAAAACGCAATAGAAGTGCCTACTTGGTCGTTTTAATTAAAAGTCCAATAGTAAATTTCTGAAATGCTTCAGTATTATTGTTTTGCAAATTTAATTAAAACTTTAGCACTAGTAATGATAGTTTGATTAAATTATTCTAAATTAATGGAACAATTTCTTATTCTAATTACATTTATAATGAAATGACATACAGTACTCACCTTTTATATGTATGTGAATGTTTCAATTCAATTTTTAATGAGTGTTTTGTTTTCGTGAGCGTTTTGGCGCGCTTTTTTCAGTTTTGGCGGGAGCGTGATGCACGAGCTCTGTTCGCGGGTGCACTGCCGCGCCCGCCGCGCCCTCGCCGGCTCCTGCCGACATCGCCCAGCCACCTGCGGAGCCTCTATACCTACCAATACCACTGTTGTTCTATTTCAATTACAGATTTTATTACATTTATAGATTACGTTTGTATTCGACTAGTCGCTGAACGACAACTTTTAACACACACGAAAAACAACTGCTAAAAGACAATTTTGTACACGACATTTTAGTTAGTAAAGTACAAATAGGTATGTCCCATTTACAAGCTGCATGCATTGCCCGGGTTAATTGTCTTACACTATTCTATGTGCGAAAGTGACGAATGAAAGAGCTTTAGAGAATTTTTTGATTTAAACCGCGCTGAAATTTAATCCCGATTTTTTATTGTTTCTGTTAATTATACAAATATGGTTAAATGTAAAGAAATATTTGGTGTATATAAAATTTTATTATAATCATTATGTACAACGGATACATAATGTTAATTCACAATAGGTAAATACAGTATCGATAGTTTGAAATGTGACACCTGAAACTGAGCCAAATTACAGACGGGGCAGATAGCTTCGCAATTTACTGTCTCGGCTCGGAACTGACGAGAATATGCAAACTACTGCATAAACACCAGCAATTTGTGTTTCCATACATTGTCTAGTTTAGGTATTTTATTATAAAAACAGTATAAAAACACACAAAATAAAGAAATAAATTATAGAAAATATTTCGTGTCCAACTATACTATGAAAAGTAAAAATGTAAGTAAAATATAGTCAATTTAAAACGAAGTAGTTACTTAGTTAAATAATTCTCGTTATCGATAAGGGTTTTATAAAATTTAAAGAGAATATTATTATTATTAACTTGAAGCCGTTTTATAGTTTCGTTGTATTGATTACAGTTAACATCAAAAAACTTATAAATCATACTCCAGAATCTGACACAAATTTCCGAATTTTTCCAGAAATAGAAATTCATAGAAGAGTAGGCACAGTATTGAATACCGACGAAATTGTACAGACAGGTCTAATCTCGCGGTCCAGCCGGGCCTCGTCAGGCATCGCCTCTCCCCAACTATGCCTTGTCGAATACTTGTGAATACAACAAAACAACATAGACAAAGTTGTGTGTAATATTCTTTTAACACGATAAAAAAAAATAATCTAACAGAATTTTCTAACGTAATTCACAACTTTATGATAAAACTAGCTTTCACCCGCAACTTCGTCCGCGTGGAATAAAAAGAAACAAAAGTGGATATGCTATGTGTTTTTCCAGACTATGCGTCTGACTACTAAACTATCCTATGCCAAATTTCATAGACATTCTTTCAGCAGTTTAGACTACAAACTCTAACAAACATCCATTCATCCATCCATCCAACCATCCATCCATCAAAACTTTTACATTTACAAAATTAGTATTAGTAAATTAAATAATTGTAGATTGCCAGTTTAAATTTTCTGGTATACGTACCATTATACTGAATAACAATTAACTACAATAAACCGTAGTTTTATTTGACATATATGTGAACATGGTGATGATCATCTAATAACAATGTTGAAAACAATTTCTCATATAAACTGTCGAAGCGTTAAAACGTTACATATTTTATATGACCCCGCACGGAAATTGAATTTCAGGCAAACCATTCGACGTTGTTCCTGAATACCTGATATTTGCGGTAACAGACGACGATTAACAATTAGTACAAATACAATATTACCTTTAGCAGCATTTCACGATAGTTACGATGATGACAATAAATAAAATTATTAAAATAATGCCTATCGGCTTAGTTCATACCCGATATATTATGTAGAAGAAATACGATATGCGATACTATCCTTAGCTCATTTAAAATAGACATTGTAAAAATCTTTTATACTGAGACTAACGAAAGACAATAAGAATTTTCTAGAAATATCTTCAAATGTTTACATTTTCCCAGCAGGGAGAGAATACGAAATGTGTAAACGTTATTTTGTATCGAAAAATACACAGTTGTTAGAGTTATAAAACAAAAGTATAGTTTTCTTTTCTTATTGTGTGATTATCTTAGCTTTCTTCCTGTTATAAAAACGATTGTTTATGTGTATGGATGTTCATTACTGCATATCTCCAGAAAGGCTATACGGATTACTCTTATCGAAAAAGCATGAATGTAGAACAGTCTGGAAGAACACAGGGTACTCACTAAGTTTTTTTTAATACCGCGCGAATGAAATCGCGGGCGAAACCATAAACTAAATGATGTCAATGTTACGTTTACACATTATCTTTTTGTAATTTAAGGCTACACATTTGAAATAGAGATTTTAAAGATCCTGTTTTATTGCTAATAAACCGTCTACGAGAATGAAACGTATGAATCCATTGTCGAAATATCGAGTGCTGTGCATACAACAATCATTGCAAGCTCCAATTCTCGAAAAAGCACTAAATATAAATCCATTGAATGATTCCTAGTACTATTTTGTTGAATGAGAAATTTAGTTTTTTTGTTTTGCTTTGTTTTTTTATCACTGTTGAAAATACAACGCAATTTCAAATAAGAATATTCACGAACGAACGCCATCTAGTGACTATTCAAATACTAATTTTATACCAATTACTTTTTCTTATTACCTTACCTTACCTTTACCTGATTAATATCCTAGAAAATGCCATTAAACTTTTTTAAAGAAAAATAAAACACATTTTTAACGTTAACTTTTATTTATTACCATAAAATACCACAATTATAATCAAAACATATATACAAAATTGTCAGATGTGAAATAAAATGTTACAAATTGTATATGAAAAATTACTAAAAATGATATCCTAAATATAGAATCGTAACTTAAATTCAATAACCTATTAGTTTTATTTAACTTACACTAATGATTAGAAATAATGTTACTTAAAAAAATAATTTCCGATAGGATTAATTAAAATAAATAAACACTCTCCTATAATAATAAATTTAATGGCACTAAATATTACGGTTATATAAGAAAAGGCACTAAGCAGTGAGGAAAATTGTCACATATTGTGTCTGTTTTAGTATATTTTTTATTTATTGTGCGATACATATCTTTGTTCGACAATCTACATATAGCCCAAAAACTGATATAAAAGTTGTGTTTTTTTGTTAATTAAAGTCATATTATTTCTGGAAGGCACTTTAAACAGGACATTTTTTTGTAACGTTTAGAATATTGAATACAAAAAGTCTTAATTCACATTGATAGTAATTGCTATAAGATACTATAAGAATAATATATTTTTATAAAACATCTGTTTTTGTATGACAAAAGGTAAAAACACTAATTCCGTGAATGAATTAGAGTGGGCCAGACTACATTTCGATCTAAAGATGAAAAATTATAAATATCGTCGATATCTTGGCAGTGCTGAGAGTATATAAGTCACAAGTTTTTTACACAAAAGCATTATATAGTGATATATCAATTATCTGGGATTTTAATATACTATTGACATATATGTAGGGTCAAGGAGGTTCATGTTTTTTTTTTAAATATACTTTTACGGTGTTTGAAATTTTGATAAACTAGTATTAACATGAGATGAGAGACATTAAGAGGAAAAAGATGTTTAAGAGAATTATAAAAAAATAATAAAACAGGTTAAATAATACGAGGTTTCAATTGAACAAACCTACGGATCACTTCTACATATATATCGTTATATAACTTCTAATGTGCGATCAAACTACACATAAGTACATACAAACATTCACACATAAGTACAAAAGCGTACAGAAAACATCGTATGAGATTAAAACATCATTATAAAGCATTTCTTGATAATATAACTAACAATACAAACATGTGTTCTTAATGCAAATATGGTATCAGTACAAAAGGCACAATTTTAAGGCATTTTATTTATAACAGACATCTAAAAATTCCTAAAAAATATGTTTATAGCGAATACTGTTGGCTTACATTTCGTTCAATATTTACTACAGATGAGATAAATGTACAGAGATTACCAAGTTCCTTATTCAGAAACATCACTGACAGATCTTTATTTTCCTGCGTATGTAGGATTTTTGAAAGTCGATGTCGCCTGCTTGTAAATCGGGTTTTCGCCCTGTAAAAGAACAAAAGCAATTAATATTGTTTCTAGACTTTTTTATCGTATTCATTATTTTGAAACTTTGACTATAATGATTTTCACTAATTAATTTGGGTCGTTAAAGAGGTAATTTCATAATCCAAATGAGAAATTAATTATGTATTTACACTTAGAGTCTTCAATTGTTCTCTGAGTGCGTTCTTAGTTTATAATTTAGAGATCTACACTAAATTCTTGATGAGGTAACCGAGAAACGGTTTAATATGATATTGAGTGTTAATAAATGCTGGAGGCCTAATTTTAGTCCCTTTCTATCCTTTTCTTAAGAGGAAAGGATGGGAAGGAAAAGTCGATTTGACGGTGGAGGAGACGCATTGGAAGGGGAAATGTCCTCTTTATGTGCGTCTCCTCCTCCGTC